GGGGGGGTGGGGGTGGGGGTGGGTTACCTCAGGACGGGGCCGCACCGCGCTCGTAGCGCCGGAGGCGTGAGCTGGGGGCACGGAGCCCGGGCCCTGAGGGACGGGGCGAGGCCGCAGGGCGCCTCCGAGGGGTTTCTTATCGACCGTTGTCAAGCGTTGGAGTCTCTTGGGGCGGCCATAGAATCACAGAATGGTTTGGGTCGGAAGAGACCTTAAAGATCATCTGGTTCCAGCCCCCTGCCATGGGCAGGGACACCTTCCACCAGGCCAGGTTGCTCAAAGCCCCATCCAGCCTGGCCTTGAGCACTTCCAGGGAGGGGGCATCCACAGCTTCTCTGGGCAACCTGTGCCAGTGCCTCACCGCCCTCAGAGTGAAGAACTTCTTCCTTATATCTAATCTAAATGCACCTTCTTTCAGTTTAAAGCCATTACCCAGACAAGTCCTATCGCTACATGTCCGTGGAAAATGTCCTTCTCCAGCTTTCCTTTAGCCCCCCGTCAGGCACTGGAGGGCTGCTATAAGGTCTCCCCGGAGCCTTCTCTTCTGCAGGCTGAACCACCCCAGCTCTCTCAGCCTGTCCTCACAGGAGAGGTGCTCCAGCCCTTTGAGCATCTTCATGGCCCTCCTCTGGGCTCGCTCCAATGGGTCCATGTCCTTCTGTTGGGGGCCCCAGAGCTGAACACCTCACTCCAGGTGGGGCCTCACCAGAGCAGAGTGGAGGAGAATCCCCTCCCTCGCCCTGCTGGCCACGCTTTGTTTGATGCAGCCCAGGATACGGTTGGCTTTCTGGGCCGCAAGCGCACATGTCGTGTTCATGTTGAGTTTCTCATCAACCAACGCCCCCAAGTCCTTCTCCTCGGGGCTGGTCTCAATCCATTCTCCGCCCAGCCTGTGTTTGTGTCATGGAGGCAGCGCAATGCCAAATGGCCTCCGTAGGCCTGTTCTACATTTGAGATCACCAGAGGGTTGGGAAGGTGGCACTAGGAGGTGAGAGCGGGGCCTGAGGCTTGGCCCTGCCGCCATGAAAGCCTCGTCTGCCCCAGCGCTCACCCTCCCAGCCCATCCTCTGGCACAAATTGCTGCCGAGGTGGAAGATTGCACTGGGGAAAGGTCCTGAGTGCCACAAAACCCCCCAAACCACTCGTCCTTGTCACAACAGGATCGTTTTGTATCAATGTGACATTGATGCTTGACAAACAACTACACCTGGCATGCTTGAAAAATGCAGAACCCACCAGCTTTGCCCATCATTTAAGGCGTAAAAAAACATTTTGTTTGAGAAGAAAGAGAATGTATCATTCCCTCGGTGACAGGGTTTTTTGCCTTGTTAGGTATTATTAGACACAGAGGCATGAAACAGGACTTCTGTTGCTTAGGTGATCAGGCTTTCCTATTGCTCGCCACTTGAAATCTTAATCCTTTTTCTGACATTAAAATTATTTCAATAGCAAATAACAATGACATCATACGCAAAGAATGACTGTTCTGAGTGAATAATAAAGCAGTGGGGGCAAAACAGACAAAGAGATATTATTTTCATGCAAATTATCCAAATAATAAAACATAGGAAGGGAAAGATGCAATTTTCTGAAATGGAAAACCTTTTGTACCTTTGATACCCAAGGAATTTACTTAACTCATATCATTCTTTGGTCCTTGATGTAATGCTCATATCCAAAACAGATCAATCTAACATTAAGTAAACATTTGAAATGAGCTAAACCCAAAACTTCACATGTGAAGCCTTGGGAAGTTTGGTGGTGGGGATCCTGGATATGGATGCCTGGATACAAATCCTCATTTCCAGCGGGGTTCAGGCTAGCCTCTCAAAATGGAAAGGAATCTCTCACTCCAGTCTGCTTTAGATGCTGGTGAAATTTTCCAGGAATAACTGTTTCTGTGTGAGCTCCATTCAGAGTGACAGAGATCTTGCTGGAATGACTTTTCTGCATCAAGACTACAGGAATCTCCAGAAATATTTCTTCTGCCTGCTGTCACCTCTACACCCGTGTCCTGCTTGCGCTGAACCTGCCTTTACGCAGCTCAGGCTTCACACTGCTTCCCTCATTTTGAGCCAAAATTATCTATCAACAAGATTTTGCTGATCTCGAATACAAGTCTGCATGCTTTTCCAGGGAAATCCAGCCCTAAATCCAGTATGGCTCTCAGACCTGTTTAATCTTCCAATGTTTATTTGATCTATGCTGCTCCGTAGTCTTAAGCTGCTGCTGAAAGAGAGGGTTATGATTTCCTGTGGTGACTGCGCAGCAGGAGCAAATGAGTTCCTCAACAACTAAATTCCTGTTTTCATACATGTTTCTAGGCATAGAAAAATGAAAGAAGAAAGAAAAGCAGATAAATTACAGAGTAGAAAAATTGTTCCCCCGTAGAATAGTTTTCAAAGTTTTGCGGGAATAATGTTTTTTTAAATTATTTTTAAGTCTGTGTGAAACACTGAGCTTCAGCCCTCTCATCTGTCACATTATGCTTCTACTTAAAGCCTGTCATCAAGGGGGAATAACTGTGTCAACTCAGATAGCAATTTTTATGTCATTAAGTTCTGATGACTAAAAAAGTAGCATGTGAAACAGAATGTGAAAAAACATATGGCTACCTCTGAAAGTACAATAGCATATGAAAATAATTTAATTCAGTAGAATAACATTAATTCAACAGGAAGATTATGTGCACAAACTGTCTGCTATTTTGTTTCAATCGCAAATAATTACATTTCGCTGTGTCTAAATTTCCTTGCCTCTTTCAATGCCTCTAGGAGCCATGTGGGAGCCGATATTAATGCCACGTACAGCCTCTACCTGGATTCGGACCAGAGATAAATTTTTCTCTCTTTACATTTTAGATGTCCCGTCCCCCCTGCCATTGAACAGATTTTTCAGATTCTGAAAAATTTACCCTCCTCTTGTTCAAGTTTAAATCTTACTTTTGGTTTTAAGCAGATATCAGCAACGCACAATTTAGTTCCTCTCTTTCTCTTCCCACTCTTTAGGCCGCTTTCACCCTTAGAAACCTGGCTGCCTCTTCTATCAACTAAGGGTGCTCAGCCCTTTGCCAGATCAGGTCGTGTCCCCCGGGAAGATGATCTGATATTTGATAAGACATTGCAACAACGGAGAAATATGCCCAGCATTTGGCATTCTCTCTGGAAGCATTGGATTTCTGGGATAAGCAATATGGCTACAGCTATTTTTGTCATTATTTTAGAACACCATGTGGTAGTGCCCTTAACAAAGTCAAAACTTCATGCCGAATCCCGGATAATTTTTGGTAAGCCACATGAACGTTTGTAAAAGAATATTATCTGCATACTTTCGCATTAAAACCAGTCACTTAACCTTTGCTTGCGGTTTTTAGTACATCTGTGATGTAGAATCTAAAAGAATTTTTCTTACCTAGGTGGATGAAACCTCCCGAGAGCCCCGGAGAGCGTTACCAGCTTTATTCTATAGGAACTGAGAGAGAAGTACTGCGGTTTGATGGAGCTCACGGACAGGGATCCCTGCTAAAGCTGCTGGACGTGCTCAGCAGTCACTGCCGCCTGATGCTGAGTGTGTGTCGCTAGCCATAGCTGGGTTTCATTTTTGGCAGACTGGGCAATTAGCTACTGTATTATGACATTGTCATTGCATGCGTAGTTTTTAGATGCAGAAGTACCAAAATTACTCTCAGGTCCGTAAATCCTCCTACAAGATAAGTAATCTCACTGCCTTGACATAATTTAGTATCTCCAAGTATAATATCCTTTCTGACTGATGAGGACCTCCTGAAGAGAGGAGTTCTGATCTGATTTGTAAGCTTTACCTGTACTTCCAAAACCCGTTCTGTCAGTGTGAAATCTGTAGGAAGGTTTGCTTAACAGGGCTGCATAGGGAATTGTCCAAAAGTTGGAGCTTGATCCTTTTGCACATCTTTTAATAAACCAATGAAGGTAGTTTGATACAGACATACTTTTCTCCCCATTAAACCCGTCAAGGAGGAAGAGCCAAAAAGATAAGGCTCTTTGTTGTTAGAGTCTTATCACACAGCCCTTTAGAGCAGCATTGCCTCTTCCAGCGGTTGGCAAGGCGATACCTCCCAGCTTTCTTCCAGTTACCCAGGTTCTGAGCAAAAAGGTGTGTTTGATTATTTTGAACAAGAACATTGACGGGGGAGTTCACTCTCAGATCTGGCCTGCATGGCTTCTTACAGGGGCAAAAATATGGAATTTAATTCAAAATAAGCGGGGGAGATGTGAAGCAGCAAAGAAGAGGGAAGCAGCTGTCAGACCGAGGATACCTTCTGTTTGCTGAGACATATGTTCTTGAGCTGAACTTCTCCCTTGTGATCGGTTGTGCTCATTCTCCCAGCAGAGAGAGGGTACGTGTTAGATGGGCATCAGATGGCAAGCCTCAGAAAAATAGATTGAAAACAGTGCAAATAATCATCTCTAAGCACGCACAGAAACGTTCATTACTGCTACTGTTACGCTTCAAAATATCCCTGTGCAGAGTGGGGATTGGGGAAGGAAAAGCCATCTTACTGATTTTTCAGTTTAATAAATCCATCGTGTCCCAGGCTTACAAAGAAGCATGAAGAAAACCCAGTGAATTTAGAACGAACCAGTTCAAGGTGAGCACAAGAAACAGTTCATGAACGCCTGGCTATCCCAAGCCAACACTGGAAGACCGTAGCATGTTTTACTGAAGGTGATTTTTGTTGATAGAGCCTAAAGTGTCTGCCAAACTAAACTCCCACTAGCCCAGCCGGTCAGCATAAACCTACAAGGCATTCCCTTCCTTGACAGGGTCGGTGTTGTGACTGGGATTGTTCAGATCATCTTCTTCTCTGGGTCATTTTTTTAAATTTATTTTTTGAAACAAAACCACTACTCTCTAATGTAAAAAAGAGCCAGCATAAAGAAAAAAGGATCTTCAGAAGGAAAGCAGACAAGCACTAAACCCGTCTAGCTGACATTAAAATGCCAACCACACTCAGCCTTTCGCTGTGGCGGAGGGTGGCAGCAGATTTTCATCAAGTACGTGTGCTCCTTTAAGCACATACAAACCTTGGCAGAACTACGCAAGTCAGGGGTTTGGGAGATGATGTTAGGGCTCTTTTCTTGCTTTTTAACTCTGACTACCTGAGAGTACTCACAGGTGCCCTTCAGCGTCATCCGTTAGGCTACAACAGCTGGGTGATGTTTAAGGTTGCTTCCCAGTATGGACCCTATGCATTGGCAAGCAATAATGTGTTAAGAACAAACTGCGGCTGCAGCCAGCCAGGCAATGCTGTTGCTACAGAAAGCTGTGGAAATAACCGGTTAGCTTGAAATTTGGCTTGCAGTGATGATAAGTGAGCAGCAGCATCCAGGAGGGAGCCAAGTAACTTGTCAAAGAACGCCTGAACTTGTCTGATGTGTAGAAATATGTCTCTGGATTCGGCACGTCTCTGAAACAAGAGAGTCCACAAAATGCTAGTAGCAGGATCTTTTTTCCTCACTAGTCATGGAAAACAGGCCTGTCCTGTCTCCTGTTTTGTTTTACAAACACTTCTGTTTTGATTCCAAAATTTCAAGCCTGTGTTTGATTTACAGAACCAAACCAGCGCTGTAAAATTCTGGGTTTATCCTCATGTGCAAAGAATATAATTACTCACAGTAAGGAATGCTTGATAAACCAACATATCTGGTGATGGAGCTTTATCTGTTGAGCCAAATTCCTCGCTGGGTACGGAGTGAAGTCCATCACATGGAGAAGAAATTGGATTCTCAAAAATCATCAGTATATTTGCAGTGGTTCCACTGGTAGGAGATGCTCTTAACATGGGGCAGAGTTTGCCTTCAACCAGCCGGTGCTACTGTCCTGGATCAGGAGCAATTTCGACTGGTGTTGCCTAAAGTCTCTGAGTTTTGTCCTTCACCGTTTTCAATGAATCCACCACCAGCTTTAATAACCCTAAAACAGACCGACTACAAAAAAAAAAAATAGTTCTCTTATGCTTAAGTGTTAATCAAAGGTGAAAAAAATCCATTGATTTCAGTGAAGGTGGAAATTCATATAGACTGTATTCTTGTTTCTATTTATTTGGCAGTTTAGGAGACACCTGTAAGAAGAGACAGGAGACAGTTGGTTACTATATTTCAGGCCTGTGACTCTTACTTTTTTGGTTGCAATTTACACCACATATTTCAAAGCCTGTTATTCCTTCTAAAACAGCACAAAAATGCCAAAGTAACTATATCAGTAATTGCAAGTATTTGGATTAGATCTGAAGCAGGGAAGCGTTTCCATCTCCATAGCCAACGAAGTGTCAGTTTTCACCATGTGCATGCCTAGGGCGTCTCAGGAGGCAAAAAACCCCTCAAATAAATAAACAGGTTTAAAGAAAGGCTGTAGACAACACTGTCGTGACTGACATGACTATATAAAAATACAAATACATATATAAATCTGTTCCTGTAAAAAGGAACAGATAGAGCTAACGATATTACCAAGGTAATATGTGCAATTCTTTTTGTTATGGGCTGACGCACTTAGCCGCTTTTTGTTTTCTGATTCAGCAGGCAGAACTTTATTTCAGTGCCTTGCTGCTTGTATACCATAACTGACTGATTTTATAAACTGTACAGAGATGATATAAGTTGATGTAAAAGTCAACGATGCCAATGAGCTATTGCTTAAGAAGTTTGGCAAATTATGTATGTTACCTTCTTGAGAGACTTAATCACATAAACCTGCCCACTGGATCAGCAGTTCTCTGCTGCACTCCAAAATTCTAATGACAACCTTCTGCACTGTTTCCTACCAGGAGCACTACGCAATTAAACTCTGCTGTTGGAGGAATTTATAGTGGATTTACACAGACTGACTTGGCCAATCTGCTCTTCTGCTCTGCTAAGATCACTGTCCATCTTTAAATTACCGGTCCTGCTTTATCCATTATTTATTTCGCTCGGTAGCCTCTACCCCAAAGCTGCTATTTCAAGCGAGCAGAAGTGAGTGTTCACTCCAAACTCCAACTCGGATTCCTATCAGAATGCATTCTTTGCTGGGTCAGGTCTGTAAGCAATTTTACATGTATATCATAATTCCCATCTGAACACATATGTTATGAGTATTCTGAGGCCAGCTGGGATATACAGGCCTCTTATTTAGAATAGCCTCCGTTTTTTCTGCAATGGAAGTAACTGAAAACATGCACATTTAAATAGATTTTATCTCTTTGCATTTTTGGAATAATCTTCCTCCCTTTACCTAATGGATATCAGCCTTAACACTTCCCGTGTCTTCAACTGCATCAGTTGCTTAGAATAAGGATCTCATTTTCACATGAATCCTATGGCAGGGCAACCTGACGGACCTAAATTCAATGAAAATTACATAAAATTGAAAGAGAGCAGATGCCATTGTAAGTGATGGCAGGGCAGCGCTATTACTATCATCTACTTTGCATAATCACGTTAGTGACAAAGCCAGTGAGCACATTTCACAGCTTTTCCCAGCAAGCTGCGACTGTAAGCTTTTCGGAAAGAGATAGAGCTTCTCCTCCTATTCAGGATTTCTCAATTGCCTCAGTCATTCATGCTGGCTTTATGCTCCTTGACACAATATCAGAGGTAAAGTATCAAATTTAAGCAATTTTCTAAATGGTAGGAAGGCCCCAATTTCTTTCCTAATAGATAACTTCATCGTTTAACTATGTGAGAAACTTATAAAGAAAATATCTCTTTGATTTCATCTTGTGTGCGGGGGGGGGGGGGGGGGACTTCTTTTAAAAGCGCGCCAACTTTTTTTTTATAGAT